GAAAGAAGAGTCTAGAATAGAGGTTCTTAGGAAGTTTCTGAAAGATGGAGGAAGCCAGCTTAGGAGGTAATGGGTCTGTGTGAATACAATATCTTTTTGAGGGTATGAAGCTGAGAAGAACAAAAGCCTACGGCTCGCACAATAAACAGACATTTGCACCTGCACCAAATAACTAAAACTTCAACAGAATAAAACTAGAGGTATGCCAATGACAAATAACAGCGTCACTAACTATACCGCGAATTTCCAGCCCCAATTATTTTTATTTTCAGAAGCAAGGCCACTTGAAACTTATTTATGCAACAAAGCAAACTGTACACAACACAAATCCTTGCATACACCATTAGGCTGGCCTATTCTTATAAAATAGACGGTCTGTCCTATATCCTGCCCAGACTACACTGTTAGTATCTGAAAATAAGATCAGTCCTGAGGTAACAGTAGAAAATGAGGATTTACCCTGCTCTTCGCAGAGGCTGCAACATCTCTGGGGCGGCCAACAGCCCCACAGTCTGGTGCTACTCAAGTACTGCACCAGAACCGAGTTTCCAGTTTCTGGCTTTCCGGTTGTGGGTGCGTGTCATCTGTTGGCTGGTTGATTTTTAGTTTAGTTTGCCACTGGGAAACTCTTGGGATTGTAGCTGTAAGCTTGGTATGCATAGATGTTGTCAATTAGTCCAGATTTCAGAAATAAAAGTCATAAGTAAAGAAATTAGAGTAGTACATAGAAATAATACATAGCAAATACAAGCCATTAGAAAGAGACCAGTTGCAGGCAAAACTACTTAAGGTTTAGCCAAGTGTTTAAAAGTAACCGTGCTGTCAGACCACCACTGGGAAAATGATCAGCCCTCCAAACGTGTGTTCAATCGTAGGCTGAGAGGCAATCAAAAACATTCGCAAGCAAACATCACACTTCTAAGCTTCTGAACCCCTGAGAATCAGCAATACAGCTATACCAACCAGAAGGCAATGCTTCATCAGAGAACATTCGAGCTCACAACTGTGTCCAAAATCTGTTTTGTTCTGCCCATTTTCCTCACATCATCTTCCAGAATAGGCAACCGAAAGCTAGGATAAAACAAGTGGATGGGGTGGGAAGAGGGGCCACCACGCACTAAATATCCGTGATAATGGATATTTTAAAGAATCATACAAAAATTCATGGGAAAATCCTTAAATTATCACATTTTGAAGATCGATGCATTCAAGATTATGAAATGGTGCCACAATTCAAATTAACGTAATTATCCATCAAGTGATCCTAAAAATAAAGATATTAGTCTAATGATTGACACTTGAAAAATTCTAGAATAAAGTTTTCATAGCACAATACGTCAGATGTTAGCAAAGGTGGCTCACTGAAACTGCGGTACCTGAAGTCCCACAATTATTAAAAATCCACGCGCTCTGGATCCAGCAGCTGTTCAGAAACTGTAGGACCTGCTTAAAGGGAGCTTATTACAGGGCCAATGCACAAAGCAGACATAAACTGGAGGTAGAATAGCTTATACGCAATTATGCCACAACGGCATTTAAGAAAACAGTTCCAGCCTTACCTTTAATTAGGATATTCGAGAGGTGAAGAGGAGCCACTTGACTTATGTGCCCTTGAGGTCTCATGTAACCCTTTCTTACACTGGAGGTACTTAATTTTACAACTGAAAACTGCTGTTTCCATTAGCAGAACATTCTTCTGACAAAGGAGAAAATACAATTTTGCTTATATATAATTCATAGGCGGGGAAGTTCTATCAAATCAAAGAGGTACTTTTTTTCTTCCTGAGGAACATGCCACAAAACAAGCTACAAGAAACTAGTGTGAGAAGGAATAAACTATGATTTACTTCAGGTATGCATTTGGGGATGGGAAGGTACTTAAATTCAAAGGCAGCTCTGTAAACCGCTCTGCATCAGTCATGGGCTGTTTTCCTAGTTCTACTTTTACTCTCATGAAAAGGGATAGAATGATAGCTCTGCTCCAGAACCTCAAAAAACTCATTCTAGCTGCAAAGCAGGAACAGCAATGTGAACTTCCTTGTGATACACACACCAACAAGTTGGAATGAATTGCAGTGGTTTAAAGCTACCTGCAAACACCCCTCCAACCCTCACCTTACACTGCTCTCTCTTGTACTTCTCGGCCCATAAGGTTAACCTCTGCATTGACATAGTCATTCCTACAAATTTAATGATGAAAAAAAAATGCCGTATTTCTGCCCAATGAATGTTGTTTTTCAGAAGCATGAGGAAAAAAAATGTGAAGGGGAGATGGACTTCAGAAAGCTACCTGGACTGCACAGTGATGCTAGGACAGGTATTTAAGGTGTAAGAGGTTGGGAGCCAGTTAGATAGGATGGACGGAAAAAGTAAATGGAGACCTACTGGGGAGAATGGGAGTTGTCTAGTACCATGCTGGCTTCAATGCTGTTTATGAATGTGGGAGGGTACCCTAACTGTTGGTACAGTCAAGATATCTCCTACTCATGTGGCAGTACATATAATCATCCAACAATTTGGAAACATTTGACAACGTGCCAAAATTAGGAGGCTTCCACCCCCATTCTGAACAACTCAGGGATGAAATAGCTGAATTTGGGGTTGGACCAGATGACCTCCTGTGGTCCTTTCCAACCTCAACTGTTCTGTGATTCTATCAGTTCTCATCTGTGGTGTGTGATCTCTCACTTAGAAGTGTCCCACCACTATAGGACTTGAAAGTAGCAAATGTGGCACCTGGACCCAGAGAATTGCAGAGCGGGAATCCAAATCACTGAAACCTACAATTTGGAAGACAAGGTGTTGCAAATAGAAAACACTAAGGAAAAGCCAGCAAGGTCTTTTTAAATTTATACCTCAGAAACATATTGGAACTGTGTGAGGGCATTAATAAGTATGTAGGCAGGGGTCAGAAGAGTTTGTGCAGTTGAGTTTCAGATTTCCAGAAGTTCTTCCTAGCGGAGGGCAATGCCTCAACATACTCATAAACCATCAGGAAAAGTGGATAAGGTGGTAGGATTTTCTGAGAACATTATATTATTTAGGAAAACAGTAATTAAGCCAAACAATGAAGAATTGCAGGAAGGCCCTATAGTACATTGGAAGATGAAAGAGCAGCTGAAATTCCACGCAGATTTAGACAAGAAGGCAGAAACGATCTTCATGTGGATAGTGATGCCTTCTGAACTATTACCAGCCAGGAATGAGATCTAGGGAAAATGGGCTAATTCTGTGAAAACACCAGCTCCAGTGTGACTGTTCAGTCAGTCACATATTCTGGGAGCAGCGCCATTAGGTCAAAGTGAGAGCAACACTAGGTAGGACAGGATGGACAGGAAGGGATAAAGGTCATTTATGCAGCCATTACCGCTTGCAGTTTGCTGTCTCCTGCAGCCATCATCTCCTGCATTCATGCATACTAACCATCTGGAAGTCTCTTCAGAATCCACGAACTTGATGGAAGTGGCACAGATCAAAATTCCAGGCTGGGAGGTATAAATACCTGAATAGATTTTGAAGCTGACCCAACAGCAGCCAAACTGCTGAGGATTTTGTGCTTCCTGGTGTGACGCTAGGAACGCCCACACCGCAATGGAGGAGGAAGGATGAGCACCCTCAGCCTTGGCTAGGTAACTACTTTGCTCATAGGTGCACGAGTTATGAGTTACAAATTAGAGAGCCTGTGAGTTAGAAATGTCATGAATTAATGAAGTGATGAGTTAGTGAATTCACATTTTAGACAGGTCTGTACAAAAGGGGACTGAGCCTTTGTTTGCCATGCTTGTTTGCCTTCTTTCCTAGTAAGCTCACAAAATAAAGTTCAATTTACAGAGTATGTTGTGCTGTAAATTTGAGATATCTAAATGAACCGTGACACTCCAGCCTCAAAAGTAATCAACAAAATCAAACGGTAGGGATTATTAGGAAAGCAACAAAAGACAAAACAAAAAACACCAAAAAGCCGCTGTGCACATTGGAGGCATCCACATCTTGCATGCCATCTGCAGGTCTGCCCCTTAAGGAAAGACTGTCTTAAGGAACAAAGGAGGACAAAGACAGCCCAGCCTATGGAATTACTGCCGTACAACAAAAGACTAAAGCACACCAAAACTTTTCCGTTTGGAAAAGAGACAACAAAGGGGTATATGATCAGTGGATATCAGATCAGAAATTGAACTAAGAAAGTAAATCGCACTTTTCCTGTGTTTCAGAAAAGCTCATCAGTGGACCCTGGAAGGGAGGGATGAAGGACAGTGATGCTACAGCCTCTCATGCTGCCTCCTATACATCTGTTGATGGCCTGTCGGAGGGCAGGCTACAGACCTATATGAACCTCTAAGTGACCTAGTACAGCTGTTTCTCTTTTCAGTGTGCTTGTCTAGCTTCTCGTTTTGTCACTCCCTTCCTGATCTTACAGGGCAAGAAAGAAATAAAACGAGACAAGGGGAAAGGCGCCACAGAACCTGACTGGCAAAAGAGGGAAGCAGGCAGGATTCTTGTTCAGTGAAAATCACCGTCCGCTTTAACAGCCTCGATGCCTACTGCTGTCAGTCGGACTTAAATAACGGTATTTTACATCATTGTTTTCCCATCCTTTAAAGCATGCCTATGAATGAATGCGATGCAGCACCAGGAGTGATGAAATGACCTGAAGAGGAAGGCACTTAAAAAAACCCTAAGAAGATGGTCCCTTCTAAGGGATTTCATGAGCTCCCCGGGGGTGAGCACATTGCTTGGCCACGGTCTGGTGCCGTGGCTGCAGTGCAAGAGGGTGCAGCACGAGTGTGAAGCGGGCGGTACTACCAGCACTGCAACCAGGGCAGCTGCATGCCCAGCAGATGCCTGCCTGTGACTAGGCTTTTAGTTTAGATATTGAAAGGAGCGTGAGAGCGGCCTTCGTGATGTCTCATCAGAAAACTGACACAGGTCAGAAACCCTGACTGGGAAGTTTTTCTCGTGCCTAACAAGGGTTGAATTCCCACGTCAGCCTTCTTCCTGTAATGGAAGGTGGTGGAAGAGGCTTGGCCACAGACTCTCTTCTCCCCTGGACAACTTATTCCCACAGGAGATGGGTGAGTTTGCAGCTGCCACCCCTTTTTGATCGAATTTGGTTAAAAATGGCCAATACCTCCCAAAAATCAGCAAGGGAAGGGAGGCGAAGGGCCGTCATGCAGCACCACTAAACGTGCCTCGCTTCCAGCAGACAGGTTAAAAAACCCAAACAAATCACAAAACAATCCACACCCCAAACCCCACGGAAGAGATATCAGAGCCTTCTGGCCCACCCTGGGTTTCTGGGAACACCTCAGCAGGCGAAGGGAGCCTCCCGCCTGGCGGGCAGCGGGGCCTCCTCAAGCGCCCGGGGCCGGG